GCACCCCACGTGCCTGGCGGCCTAGATGCTCTGCAAACCTCACCGTTGATCACACAAGCGTGACTGATTACACAACTGCCCTTTCTGGGGACCAGTTCAGCCCTTCTCCTCAGCCACACTTGGTATTTCTAGCTGTCGACCAGCCCTAACCTCGAGGCTTGGGCTTCGAGACACCAGTTATCTAACCCACACACAAATATACCATTTTGGGAACTATTTAACTATAAAGTATAATTTTATTTATGTGTACTGATGTGTGTCTCTGTGTGTATGCCGTGTGGGTGGAGATGTCTGAGAAGGTTAGAAGAGAGTGTCAGGTCCCCTGGAACTGGAGTTAAGGGGTTTGAGAGCCACCTGATGTGGGTACTGAGAACTTAACTCTGGTGCTCCAAAAGAGCAGTACACACTCTTAGCTGCTAAGCCATCTCTCTAGTCCAATTCCTATTTCTTTAACATTACAAACATTTTGTCACTGGGCAGTGGTGGCACATGCCTTTAACGCAGCACTCAGGAGGCAGAGGCAGGTGGATTTCTGCCAGCCTGGTCTACAGAGGGAGTTCCAGGCTGGTCAGGGCTACCCAGAGAAACCCTGTCTCTAAAAACAAAAACACTTGTCATGTGCATCAGTGAACAGCTTTCAAGGGTCACTCCTTTCCTCCTTCCAACATGTGGGTCCTAGGAATTGAACTCGGGATCTCAGGCTTGGCAACAAGCTACCTTTACTCACTGAGCCATCCTGCTGCCCTCTCCCCTTTTAACATTTAATTTGTGTGTGTGTGTGTGTGTGTGAGAGAGAGAGAGAGAGAGAGAGAGAGAGAGAGAGAGAGAGAGAGAGAGAGAGAGAGAGAGAGAGAGAGAGAGAGAGAGAGAGAGGATGTCAAAAGGCAACCTGGGAAGAGTTGGTTCTTTCCACCGTGTATGTTCTAGGAGCTGAACTCTGTTGTGTGATATTTTGTTTGTGTTCTGACAAATAAAGCTTGCCTGGAGATCAGAGGGTGGAGCTAGCCACTGGTTAACCGTAAAAGCCAGGCAGTGGTGGCACAGGCCAGGTGGAGACAGGAAGTGATAAGGTGGGGTGTAGGCAGGATCTCAGCCCCTTTTGGATGCAGGTAGGAAGCCACTGGTGGCTGCTCCCTGTTTCTCTGATCTTCTAGGTTTTTACCCCAATATTTGGCTCCTGGTTTTAATTGCTGAGATTAACTAGATTAGCACTTCAGAACTCAAGTTGTCAGGCTCAGAGGCAAGCAGGCACCTTTTCTGAGCCATCCCTCTGACCCTTCTGATCTAGAGATGGGATGACGACCAGACACATTCACATAATTGTGTACTATTTGTTATACAAGGTCAAGACAACGGCACGCAGCATCTGTTGAAGGCCTGCTACCTAGATCATGCCACGCCTTTTCACGGTGCGGAGAGGGGTGGGGTCTCTCCAGGCCTCTTGCATTAGGCATGGAGTCCACTGACGGGGTCTCCACACTGGAAACCACGTAGCATCTTTCACTTTGACCAGATAGCTCCTAAGTTTGTGTTTTCATCCCTCAAAATGTAATTTAAAAATCCTCTGGTGACTAGGTAAAGCTGGCTTATCTTGACCAAGATGCTGTAGGAGGGAGGCACTCACTTATGCTTCCAGCAAGAGTGTCTGCTGGCTGAGTGGGCAATGTGACTGTGTGTTTAGGCGTGTCATGCCATAACAGCTCTCTGTTTAAAACAGCTCTCAGTGTATCGCTGTATCTGAGACACTGTGGAGACACTGGGGGGGGTGTGTGAAGAAATATGGCACAGTCCCCACCCAGGAAGCTTCAAGTTGCTCTGGAAGGTAACTGGCACTACAGGGCAGTTTACTTTTAGGGATTTAAAAATGCCTGCACATCTTCCGTTGCTGTCCCTTCAGAGGTACATGTGAAGCCCCACAGGAATCGAGACTATCCTGTGTTTCATTGTATATTCTAACACAATAGCTCTGAATGCTGGCTGAGGGTCATGCTGGATTGTAGAGGTGACAGTCCTGGGGGGGTGTGACTCAGTGGTAGGCATTTGCCTGGCATGTGTAAGTGTAGGAAGCTTTGGGTTTGGTGGCCAGCACTGCCAAAAAAAAAAAAAAAAAAAAAGCAATGCTCTCAAGTTTAAGTGTCTCTGGAATGGACTGTGAGCTTTATCTGGAAAGGGAACCCCACCAGTTGCCAAAGTTTAATGAGGGGATGAGTGTGCACAGTTAGGAGACATTGCTGCCAGAACTGGATCAGCTGCCGAGCAAAGACTGTGCCTTGCAATGTCCTGCCCACCCATGGCTCCAACCAAGTGAGGCAGAGAGATGAAAATGAAGACTTGCATTCTGCCAGGACGGTCAGAGAGGCCCTTGCCAATGACACCAGTGGCATGTGTGACACCATCCTCTCTCGGCTGAGGACGAAAGAGCCCAGGTTTCCCAGGCTTACCTGTGAGTGCCCATAACGGGCCACCTGGCCATATTGCCATGGTAATTGTGGTGATTGTGTTAGCCATTTAGTGATGAAATCCTCTCAAATGCTCTTGGAATTAAAGGGGAAGGAGAGTGGAGAAGGGCAGCCGGGTTCTAAAACAGACTCTTGCCATAGTAACCAGAACTTTACTTCTTTTTTCTTCTTGTTTTGTTTTCTAGTCCATACTCCTTCATTCCAAGGATACTTTCCCTAAATTACTCTCAACTTCAACATGATTTAAAATTTTATGCTCTCGTTTTACAAATTTCTTCACTGAAGAAAACGTGGAGCAATTAGCTAAATGGGTGAAGAAATGTTCACCAAGAGTTCACTGCCAAACAACCTACATCAGTATGTAGGTTTATGAAACTCTGATTGACAAGTGCATATTTAGGTCCCCATAACAGGTAATTTGCATTTTGCTTCCATTGCTCCTTATGCAGTTATACCTAGTTCCCCTGAGAGAATGTGGTTTTGAAACTATGTGTGCACGTTCATACATGTGTGCATGCGGGGTGCATCTGTGTGTATGCATTCATACATGTATGAACCTGGCAGTTGCCAATTTGGCTGAATTGGCCAGTCAGCAAGCCCTGGGATCCACATATCTCCACTTCTCCAGTGTTGGGGTTACAGGTGATTGAGATCATCCCTGGCTTGTATGTGAATCCTGGAGGACTGAATTCAAGTCCTCATGCTTACATAGCAACCATTCTGCTAACTGAGCTGTCTCCTCAACTCCTGTAAATTATTTTTGTTTTTTTCAAGACAGGGTTTCTCTGTGTAACAGCTTTGACCTGTCCTGACACTAGCTCTGTAGACCAGACTGGCCTCGAACTCACAGTGATCTGCCTGCCTCTGCCTCCCAAGTGCTGATACCAAAACTGTGCACCACCACTGCCCAGCAATTCTAGTAATTGTAATTCCTTTTCTTTTTTAAAGGTTTTTCAAGACAGGGTTTCTCTGTATTGTTTAGGAGCCTGTCAGGAACTTGATCTGTATACCAGGCTGGCTTTGAACTCATAGAGATCCGCCCGCCTCTGCCTCCCGAGCACTGGGACTAAAGGGGTGCGCTACCAACACCTGGCTTTTAACTTAATTGTTTTATTTATTGATTGATTAAATTACTTTGGATTTATTTTATGTGTATGAACATTTTGTCTGCATATATGTATATATACTACATGTAAGTCTGGTGACCAAGGGAGTCAGTAAATGGCTTCAGATCCTTTAGAACTAAAGTTACAAGTGGTTGTGAGCCACCATGTGGGTACTGGGACTCGAGCACTGGTCTTCTGCAAGAGCAGCAAGTGCTCTTAACTGCTGAGCCCCCCCCCCCACATACCACACCTGTAATCCTAACTAGTCTATCACATGTATTTATTTTGTATGTGTGGGTTCTCACACACTAGCATGTGGGCCATGGGACTCGTGTGGAGGTCAGGGGACAGCTTTCAGGAGTCAGTTCTCTCCCACCATCGTGTGGGTCCTGGGGACCGAACTCCTGCCGTCAAGCTTGGCTTGTGGGCGCCTTTGCCTGCTGAGCCGTCTTGCTGGCCCCCTAGTGTTAACGTAGCCCAGTGGATCCAGAAAGCACTGCGGCTCACAAGTTGGGAACTGTGTGATGCTAACGTGGAGAGGCCAAAGATGGATGCACCTGCCCAGGCTTCTCTCCTCCAGAAGGATGTGGGTCACCTCGGATTTGCCCAGCAGCCAGCAGTCTCAGCCGCACTACTTGCTGGCTATGTGGTCTCCGGCAAGCTAGTGTACTCTGCTTTCCTCAACAATTATGTTGAAATGACTATGATTTCTTCCTCACAGGAAGTAGGGTAATGGTTCCCAACCTGTGGGTCTTGGCCCCTTTGTGGGATCAAGCAACCATTTCACAGAGATCATATATCAAATACTTGGCATATCAGATATTTACATTACAACTCATAACGATAGCAACATTACAGTTACGAAGCAGCAATAAAATAATGTTATGGTGGGGGTCTCCACAACGTGAGGAACTGTATTAAAGGACAGCACCATTAGGAAGGTTGAGAAGCACTGGCTTAGGGGAAGATTGAATAAATTAAATTAGTGTTCAGGAACCAGTGCCTGGCATGTCCTTGTGGCTATTTTTCTTAGCTATTGGCACTGGTCAAAGACATTAGGGGCAATATTTATGTTTCCTGTCCCTCCACTCTAAACATGTTTTGCTTTTAGACAAAATCCTTTATTTTACAGGGGGAACAACTGTGCTGTTTTAGTAGGAATATTAGAATTTAATTCTGAAAGAAAGTGGATAAATTCAGGGAAATAGAGTCCTTTGACAAATATAGCATAGCATTAATTTTTTTAACCCTGGAAAAATGACAAAAGCCATTCCTCTTGATGAAGGCTCCATGCGGTTTTCCTGGGGCTCAAGGCCCTGGTCTGTAAAAGCCTGCTATGTGGCTCTCTGCATGGGTCCTTATGCTCCATCCCCTACCTTCGCTTACCCCAAAATCATCTCATCTCAGTTGATCTCCCGAGACTTCAGACCGAAAGTGGGCTTTTTTATTTTTTATTTTTAAAATAAAACAAGCTCATTGTGTACAGGACCAGGGAACATGGGCTCAAATTCTGGTTGTCCCCTTCATTCTTGCTCTGATTGTCTGAGTGGCTTTTAGCGTGTCACTTGACATCTTTGAAGCTTGCTTTTCTCTTGTGAAGAGTGGATGTCTTACATAACCACTTTGGAGGGATGGCGGAGGATTAGATGAATTCGTTTAATTCAGGCATATAGAGCCTTGTATCCACAAAGCTCTGGATTTGGTCTTCAGCTGTGGAAAAAAACCAATCACTAATATGCAAGCAAGTATAGCAAAATTAAGTGCCATTTTTAGTATTAGATAGTGTGGCATAAGCCCATTGTACTTACACCCTGAAAAGGGTTTCACTTTCCTATTCTCCAACATGTCTCCTCCACAGAAGGAGTCCTTCTGGAAACACGCCATGTCCAGTAGCTGGCGGTGCATGGCGATGAACAGATAATTGCAGGGTCAGGCTTTGCCCTTCCAGTGGGTTCTCATAATAAACAGCATGTTTGTCTCCATCTGAGATGAGCAGGCCCATTTATTCCTATTGTGCCCTGTTCTGTCACGTTTCACACCGACTGCTACTTTATTAATTAAAGTTCCCAAAGAAAACATCTATTTCAGCAGAGATCTGCATCTCTTACAACAGGCAGATGTGGCCCTTTAGGGAGACAACTGTGTGGTACACTGTGCTCCCTAAGAGACAGGCTTGTAGCTATAGAAACCGCAGGCTCATCCAGGTCAATGGTGTGGACAAGGCGGGGGTGTGCTGGCATTGTTGATTTCTTTCTTAGTCACTGCACTGCAAAATGTCCAGGGACACAGGTGGTCTAACTAAGAGCTGACATTCGCCCCTACCGGGTCTTTCCCTGCTTTATAGCATTGGATAGAAAACCAAGAAGATAATATGTGGGGGTGAAGATGAAGAGAGTGAGGAGTACACACTTAAAGACGCAACAATGAAGCATGCCATATTGTATTGTACGCTAATAATAAAAGAGGAGACCTTGCATGGAGCATGGCGTAGTCCAACATTCTTGCACTCAGATGGTCCTAGCCTTGCAGTGCCTGCACATAGCAGGAACTGGAAGGTATGGCTATTCATTTGTTCAAAACGCATTTATTGAATGAAAGATTTTTAGATGTGTGTGAACACATTTATATCATCAACATTTGCAGAAATGGCTTTCAAGTTCTGTTCTTTAGAGGTACTTCTTAGGAAAAAAAAGGGGTGTTTTATGTGTATGACATTTTCCTGTATGTGCACTACGTACCTGGAGTGCCCAAAGGAGCCAGAAAGAGGCATCAGAACCCCCTGAACTGGAATTGAAGGTGGCTGTGAGCCACCATGTGGGTGCTGGGAATTGAACCCAGGTCCCCTACAGAGCAGCCAATGTTTTTAACCACTGAGCCATCTCTCCAGCCCCCTTCACCAGTACTTCTTTTGTATTACAATGAAACAGACACTTTCTGTTATTTATCTGTTTGTTCATTCATTGATTCATTCATCTGTTATACTAATGCAGGGGCAGTCCTAGCTGTGTCTCCTTTTTCTTATCCAGTCCTTGTAAGCTGTTGGTATTTGGCAGAAGGCAGCCAGGCTTGTGGCAAGCCCACATTATGACCAATTCTGAACTTGAGCCCAATGCCGTTTGGTCAACAGTTGTTAAGTTTCCTTCTTAGGTGCCATGCCTGTGCCAATCTCTGAGCATTGTAAGTAAGTAGGATATTGTGTGCATGGCTTAGGATATTGTGATGCAGTACCATGACTGGACAGCTTAGAAACCATTTCCCTGGGGCTGGAGAGATGGCTCAGAGGTTAAGAGCACTGACTGCTCTTCCAGAGGTCCTGAGTTCAATTCCCAGCAACCACATGGTGGCTCACAACCATCTGTAATGAGATCTGGTGCCCTCTTCTGGCCTGATACATGCAGGAAGAACACTATGTACATAATAAATAAATAAATCTTAAAAAGAAAAAAAAGAAAGAAACCATTTCCCTTTCTGACAGTGCTAGAGCCTTCAAGTCCAAGTTCATGCTAGCATGGTCAGGTTGTGATGAGAGCCCACTTCCTGGTGGCAGATTGTCAATCACATGAGGAGAAAAACAGGCAAGCCAGCTCTTTGGCTCTCAGTAAAGAGCACTCTCAAAGGACTTGGGTTCAGTTCCCACAGACCCCAAAGGACCCAGTGCCCTCTTCTCTTCTGGCCTCCTCAGCCACTGCATTTGTGGAGGGCGCAGGGCAAACACATAAAACAAAAATAATCTTGTTTTGTATTTTTTTAAGGACATGAATCCTCCTGATGAGGGATCAGCTCTCATGACCTAATTATTTCTCCCAGCCCCTGCCTCCCAATGGCATCATGTTGGGAGCTAAGATTGCAGCAGTAGAGATTGGAACACAACCTGTAGGTAAGTGGCAGACGCAGTCTCTGTGCACCCAGAATTCAGTGGGAAATACTGACAAGGAGCATGTGGCCCTGTAGGGGGTTGATGAGGATGTGAGGGAGGCCACTGAGCCCTCTCTGCACTGCACACCTCCCTTCACCTGCTAACGCCTCTGCCAGGGACGCTCTCTTGAGCCTTTTCTCTTGGATAGGTTCTCATCTGACCTGGGTACAGATCCAAGATTTCCTTCTCTGGAAGGCTTCCCTAATACCCCCTCCCTCCCAAATTGGTTTCCTCTGACCCCTGTATTGTTGTAGACTTGCTTGTCTGTTCAGTTTTAGTGATTTCTTTTTAACTGCATAATATATCTTTGACACTGTACTTGATAAAAATAAACTTGACCCTCGGTCAGTGACTTACCCAACTCACAGAAAACAAACTCACAGGATCTGATCTATAAATCTGAAGGTAATGTTTCTGGGTGCTGGAGACAGAAAGGAGGTAGCAGAGGATACCACACCTTCCCATACCTCTTATTCGGGCCCCCCCACTACCTACACACACCTCCATTCTGTGGAAGCAGCCTGTGGTAGCCCTCTCTTATTCAGCCCCCCCACTACCTACACACACCTCCATTCTGTGGAAGCAGCCTGTGGTAGCCCTCTCTTATTCAGGCCCCCCACTACCTACACACACCTCCATTCTGTGGAAGCAGCCTGTGGTAGCCCTCTCTTATTCAGGTCCCCCAACTATCTACACACACCTCCATTCTGTGGAAGCAGCCTGTGGTAGCCCTCTCTTGGCTGGCCTGTGAGTGGTAAGGACAGGCCCCTCCAGCCATGTGCAAAGTCTCCATGAAGATGAAAAAACAGGGCAAGAAGCCAGACATAGGGGTGTACGGCAAGAACTCAGGAGGCAGAGGCATGAAGATGATGAATTCAGAACTAGCCTAGGCTACATGGAGGAGAGGAAGGATCTCACCTGAAAGCTGTCAGTTTGTTGGTTGGTTTTGTTTTGTATTTTGAGACAAGGTTTCTCTGTGTAGCCCTGGCTGTCCTGGAACTCCCTCTGTAGACCAGGCTGGCCTAGAACTCAGAGATCTACCTGTTTCTGTCACCTGAGTGTTGAGGTTAAAGGTGTGTACCACCACTGCCCAGCCAAAAAGTGGCATTTTTTAACATATCAAAGTAATAGACAAGGGAGATTGCTCAGTTAGTAAAGTGCTTGCTGGGAAAGCATGGGGACCTAAATGAGAGAGGGGTGGGAGAGGAGGAGGAGGAGGAGGAGGAGGAGGAGGAGGAGGAGGAGGGGAGGAGGAGGGGAGGAAGGCACCTATAACCGCAGCAGCCCTGGGATGGCAGAAACCAGAGATCTCTGGGGCTCACTAGCTCAGTGTAGCCACATCACAGAACGGCAGGCTCCAGGTTCAGTGAGAGAGACCTTGTCTCAAGTAAGATGGAGAGTAATTCAGAAAGACAGCTGATGCTGGAGCCAAGAAGGTGGCGTCATGGTTAAAGCACCTGCCACTCAAGCATGAGGACTGGAATCTGGATCCCCCGAACCCAGATACATTCCAGATGGACTTGACAGCCACCGTGTAATTCCAGCCTGGGAAGGCAGAGGCATGGGATCCCAGAGTGAACTGACTAGCAAGACAGAGTATGCAGAGCTCTGGGTTTGACTGCGAGATCCGACTTCAAGGAATAGGTAGAAGAGTAATGGAGGATGACAGCTGGGCCTCCCCATGTACCAGCACACACATGCACAAGTGTCCACACACTTGTAAAACATGCAAACACACAGGTACCTCATATATACATGAAAATGGAAAAAAAGGAAGCCTGACACTGACCTCTAGCCACCTCATATGGTCAAATGCAGACATGTGCATGGCATGCACATGCACGCACACACAGACATGCATGCATACATGCACACACATGTAAGCATCCAAAGATAAGATTATTGCAGTAGTGACCTATATTGTATCTTTCCAATGTGCCATGGATTCATGATTCTAGGAGTAATAAATATCCTCTGAGAATATGATTTACATTATAAAAGGATCTTTCTAGTTCTAATATGAAAAAAAGACTGTGTGAGAATTGCAGATGCAAATTCATAAAGCGGAAAGACAGCAGCCCATATCTACTCCCTGCTTAGTTTACCTATGCACAGAACTGTCCAGCTCTCAGGGAGGGTGAGTTAGTTTCTCTGGTGACTTTTTAAATCTATTCTCTGTGTATGAGTGTTTTGCCCGTGTGTATGTAGGTGTATGTCAGTGCCCTCTGAAGTTAGAAAAGGGCATTGGATCCCTGGAACTGGATTTAGAGTTGGTTGTGAGCCACCATGTGGGTGGTTGGAATCAAACCCAGGTCCTCTGGAAAGGCAGCCAGTGCTCTTGACTGCTGAGCCGTCTCTCCAGCCCCTCTCTGTTGAATTTTACTGTCTTCATCTTCCTCTAACGTGGGCAGGCCATGCACATCCTGACTCCTTGTGGTAGTCAACTGCTACCTTCAGGGCAGACTGTGCACTTGGACATAGATGGTGGCTGCCTGTGGGTTTGAAGGAAGACACCTCCCATCAGTCATTCTTGTTAACTTCAGAACTTTACTCACCAGGGAACCTGTGCTGAGTGTTGCCCTGTTCAAGATACTTATTGAGCACTTACTGTTACAGACTCTGGGCCCAGTACTAGGAGTAAAGAGATGAATGAGACATGGGCTCTAACCCCAAGGAGTTATTGTCTAACATGATGGCAAGATATACAAATAACCCTTTGTTCTGACCTCCACATGTATGTTTTAGTGTGCACACATGAATGTGTGCATGCATGTACAGGCATGCGCCCCCCCTCTCACACACACACAATATAAAAGAAAATTCATTGTAATAACAAGCAGTGAGTTAGATTGTACAGTTACATACAAATTGCATGCTCAAAGGATATCATAGAGACAAAGATGTTTCTTGGCAGAATAAACCGTACACCCGATCTAAGGAGGAGGGAGGGGCTTACCCAGACAAGGTAGAAAAGATAGTGCTGGCAGGAGACTCCCCCAACTGCCACACCCATCTTTCTACACCTGTGATTTTTATGGTCTAGGCTAACAAAACAAGACAGATGTTTATTTAGTACAAATACTCATTTTGTTTTTCGAGACAGGGTTTCTCTGTGTAGCTTTAGAGTCTGTCCTGGAACTCGCTCTGTAGATCAGGCTGGCCTTGAACCCTCAGAGATCCACCTTGCCTCTCCGCCTTCCAAGTTCTGAATTAAACCACCACCATCACCACCCGGCTCAACACTCTCTTCTTACCTTCTTGGACACTGTACTCATGCGCACATACACACATACACACAAATAATAAACTTGTTTTTTAAAGCCAAGGATGGTGGTGCACACTTAACAGCCTCAGCACGGGAGGTAAAGGAAAATTAACACAGTAAGATCCTGGGAGCATTCTGACAGTCACCAAACGATACAGTTTCCAATTCAGTTTCTGAGTGAGAGGCCCTGTCTCAAGGGAATAAGGCAGGAAGTGTAGGGCAAGGCAAGATGTCCTTCTTCGGCCTCCACAGGAACACACACACACACACACACACACACACACACACACCCTTACCTAGCCTCTCTGGTCCTCGGTTTCCTCAGTGAACAATGAGTGGGTGAATGCACACTAGTCTTTGATGGGTGAGCAGCGCTCAGGAGGGCCTGTTAAATGTGCCACCCTGTGTTTTCAGTGTTCCCTTTCTGCATCAGAGTACTGCTCCTTCAGGGCAACGAGGCCAGCTTTGTTTCTACCTTGATTCCTTTTTATCATTATCACTTGTGATTCATGCAGCTCATTATGTTTCTAGACCATTAAAATGGGGGAAATGTCACTCAGAAGAGCAGGAAAAAAACAGAGCCCAGAGGAGCTCACTTGATAACTGCCATTAACAATCACAAAAGCCAGAAGTTAGGCATTAGCAGAAAGACAGAATCTGATGCAGGCAATACACACTTCTGTGCCGTGGCCTCTAACTGTCTACAGTCCCCATATTCCTCCCTGGAATGCTTGCTTCGAAGGGTCTTAATAATTCACTCCATTTCCAAAATAGTTGACAGGCTCTTGGGTGTTTGTCTGTGGGATGCATCAGCTAAAGATGGAGAAAGATGAGTCGGGTTAAGGAAACCACCCCACCTCCTCACACCCCATTTCAGACGCAGGGCTTGTTTTTAAGACAGTCGTTTCCTTTCAAGGAATTTCCAATTCAGCCTTAGCCTAAACATTAGCCGCAAGCTTAGGAGGGCAGCACAGCCAGGGCTGCTCATCACACACACACACACACTGGCACTGTTGGGGAGGGCTGTCCTTGTCCGGCACATAGGTGATAGATGTCCTTTGCCCTGGGCCTCTCCTGAGGCTTGCTCACCTTGAGACTGGACTTTTCACTTCCACAGTTATCGTCCCCTGCTGGAAGCCTCGATTTATACAACATTGAGCTGGGCGTTGGTGGCGCACGCCTTTAATCCCAGCACTCGGGAGGCAGAGACAGGCGGATCACTGTGAGTTCGAGACCAGCCTGGTCTACCGAGTGAGTTCCAGGACAGGCTCCAAAACAACACAGAGAAACCCTGTCTCGAAAAACAAAAACAAAACAAAAAAAATTTATACAACATTGGATTTTCTAAGGAGGGAAAGACACAAATGTGAAAAAAACAAAGGATTCCCCCCACACTTGGGAAATGGAGATAAGAGGAGCGGGAGTTGATGGCCACCCTGGGCTACTTGGGAAACAGAGGCAGGAAGAGCAGAAGTTAAAGGCTAACCTGGGCTACTTGAAACAAACAAACATGACAGGATTTCTAGTAATGCATAAAAGAAAAATTTTCAAACCATCAGACCCATGTCAAAGGGCATGGTCTAGGATAAAAAGTCGATCTGTGAAGGTACTCTTGAAGTCTCTTTGGAGGCTGAGGTGACACAGTGGTGACAGCCAGAGCTACAGAGCGAGACCCTGTCTCAAAACAAACGGTTTTGAAAAATTCATTTATTAAAAGTAAATGATTGATTAAGTAAAAGTGGGTCTACTACAATGTGGAGTAATGGGAAGTTCTATATAGTCTTTCCATATTGTTCTAGCTAAGCTAGCTTGCTGCGAGCCTGCTCTGTACGACTAAACTTCAGGAAGCCCTTCCCACTGAAGCACGCTTGACTTGTAATTCTCCTCTGCCTTCCTCTCACCGTAACACGACACCACTGTCACATAGACAGTAATCCCCGCTCACCCTTCTGAAGCGTGGAACAGAATGAAAGTTTAGAAACAGAGAATTAGAAATGAAATGGAAAACAGAAGCTAGACATGAAATTGAAGATAAAAAGGTGAACATCTGTTCTAGAGGCAGTGGGCGAGCGAGCACTTGCCCGGCAATAGGCTAAGGCTGAATTGGTGAGGACCCAGATTCCATCCCCCAAACAAAAACAAAAGGAAACATGTAAAAGTCTTTGAAAATTCAAAAGTGCTTCTCTCACTAACACAGAGAACAAAGAAGATTAAATATTAAATTCTTAGCCGGGCAGTGGTGGCACACACCTTTAATCCCAGCACTCAGGAGGCAGAGGCAGGTGGATCTCTGTAAGTTCGAGGCTGGGCTGGACCGACAGCCTCTAAAACAATACAGAAAAACCCTGTCTCATAAAACCAAAAAAAAAAAAAAAGAAATTCTTTAGGAAATGAGCCTGTCACATATCAAAACTTATAGGATGTCATGAAAGCCATACTTCAGAGAAATGTATGATCTTAAATGCTTTTAGAAGAGAAGGAAGTCTGCAAGTTAATGAGATAAACACCCAGCTTGGTAAATTAAACACGATTCGATCAAGACAAAGTGGAAACCAAACAAGGGGCCTAACCAGAGAGGTCAAGGTCAAGGGGCATCCGCCAGCCACTGAGTTAAGCAGTAACGGCTATCTTGGGTAGAGTCTGTCTGTTTCTTGCTGCTCCCTGGGCTCCCTGTGATGGGACCCCACTGGACTCCTCGGGGTCGCAGTTGCTGTCATTCATGTGGATCACTAAAAGCCTCTAGAATGGGCCATCCCCCGGGACCCCAGGTGTCAGAGACCCATGTCCCTTTCCTCATCGCATCGCATATTTCTCTTGGCCTCCATCTTCCCTAAGGACACCACCCCATGCAGCCCCCCTGGAAGGTTTTCTCGTTCCTTCACACCTGCCAGACTGAGGGTCTAAGTGTGGGGTTTTCATTATAACCCAGCACCTTCCACCGACAGCCGGACATCACCCCTGTGAGTCACCTTTTACTTGTGTCTCTAGCCCTTGCCTTCCTCACCGCCTCTACGCTTTTATCTGACCATGTTCCACTCTCCACATAGTAGACCACAGCCAGAGTGAGCCTTCTAGAAGAACAGGTCACACAGTCCCCCATTCACTGTGATTCGCTTTCATCCAGGGGTTCCTTTAATGCCTCGGGTAGTTAGGTGCCTTCTTCTTCTTGCCCTGCTAGTGCCGGAAGCAGCCTGATTGCGCGGCCTGTCCTGTCAAGGTGTCTCTATCAACCTTGAGAGATGGCCGTTCAAAGCGTGGTCAGGGGGCCAACTCCAACCGCTGCATCTGAAGGTTTGAAGGGATGCAGAGGGCTAGGCCTCACCCAGATCTGCAGAATTCTCATTTGTGTTTAACAAGATCCCGGGTGGCATGCGGGGGACTTGATGCCTGCCAGGAGCTTGCCAAGCCCAGGGTGATCTTTTCATGTTTTTTGTGAGCTGGGGTGCGGCTGGAGACTGACTATCAAAAATGACCTTCACGTGTCACGCAGTGAATAAAATCAACCCAGATCAGGAAGGGAACCGATAATTCCAGAAACAGCTGACACTTTCAGGTGGAAGAGAACAAGGCAGGCAGACGTCAGGCTACGCCAGCGAAAGGACCTGTCAGGGCATCAATTAAGAGGAAAGCTGAACACTCACCCCTTTGTTGGAGCTAGAGCTTACAGGGCTGGGGGGGCGCAGAGCAGCAGGAAGGCAAGGGAGGCAGCTCTGTCCTGGCCACAGGAAATTGCCCTGGGAAGATTGATTACCCATCATGCACAGTGAGCCAAAGAGGCTGTGTGTTTTGAATTCTTTCATGAACACTGGACTCACCCAAGAGGCCCCACCCCCACAGGCACTCAGATCTCCTGTTGCTTAGCGCTGTCACAGGTAGTTGCACTTAAATAATGGGCCCTCAAGCCTAACTTGCCGAAAGGCTCGGGTAATCTTTCATTGATACAAAATAGACCTCTGGGGGAGATGTAAGGCTTCAGCTCTCCTACCCAGCAGTCCGTTTGCGTGTGGAGGTGGCCTGGTACAGATGGGGGAGGATGGAGGGCTGTAATGATAGCCTCTGGGCGGCACCGTGTGCTGAGCTGTTACCATGGGCCAGGTACTGCGTGGGAAATGGCCATGCACGATCTCATTAATTCCTCTCTAGACACAGCATCCTGAGTTACACCTTTCTGTGGCTGGAGAGGGCAAGGTTCTGTGACTACCATCTCACAGCTAACAAGTGGCAGAGCTGGTCTTCTGGGTTGAATTCCAGCAGGCCTCATTGCTAGTCCCTTAGAACATAACCTTATTTACAAATAGGGACGTGTATTTAGAATTAGTTCCAATGAGGACAACCAGAGGAGGTTGGGTCCTCAATCCAGTATGTCTGGCACCTTTTTCCCTTTTCTTCCTGCAATGGTGGGAACTGAACCCAAACTGATACACACACTAGGGAAGCACTCTCTGTGGCCACTCCCCCAGACAGACTGTGGTGTCCCCATAAGAGACACGATGCAGATGTTCATGTGACGGTGTAGACAGCAATGGGAGGACTTCAGATTGCTGGCAAACACCTGCAGCTGAGAGAAGGCTTTCTGCATGTTTCTGGGGAGAGTGGCCCTGCTGCCACCTTGATTTAAGGTTCCCAGTTTCCTGGACTAGAAGGCAACAGAATTCCATTGCATTAAACTACTCTGTTGCCAGGCGGTGGTGGCGCACGCCTTTAATCCCAGCATTGGGGAGGCAGAGGCAGGTGGATCTCTGTGAGTTCGAGGCTGGGCTGGACCGATAGCCTCAGAAACAATACAGAGAAACCCAGTCTCGAAAAAACCAAAACAAACAAACAAAAAAATAAACTACTCTGTTTATGGTATTTGCTATGGCAGCTCTGAAAAATACTGTTGGGATTAAGACTATGGCCTGTCCAGACCAACAGGCAGGGCGTTCCTGTTGATGCCGCTCTGTAGACATGACATGGACAGAGATATTAAGAGGTTTGGATGAAAGACATCCGCACTCGAAACCCCTCCCCACCATCCCTCTGGTGCACACAGTGAGATGATGGTCCCCTGTCAGGGTGGGTGAGTGAGACACTACAGGGAGGGGGCTCCCAAGAGGAAACGGACACCCAGAAAGGAGGCCAAACTCCTACTTGGAGGTGTCTTTAAAATACATGATTCTCTAAGAAGGAAGGCAAATTCGGACTTCGTAGAAGCAGGCCTGGTTTTCAGGGACACATAGGTCACCTGATGGGATGGTTAGTTTTGTCAGCTTGACATGGTCCAGAGTTATAGATTCAGGGAGAGGAGCCTCAATGAGGAATTGTCTAGGTCAGTGGGCATGTCTGTGGAATGTTTCCTTTTATTTTATTTTTTTAAAGATTTATGGTGTGTGTTGTGAACTATTATATTAAGATGTGTTACATTTGTTTATGCTGTGGAACATTTGTTTAATGATGCAAAGATGTGTTGCATCCTTTTATGTTGCATTTGTTTAACTCTGTGAAGCTGTGTCACTTTGCCTGTCTAAAACACCTGATTGGTCTAATGAAGAGGGAACAGCCAATAGCAAGGCAAGAGAAAGGACAGGCAGGCTGTCAGGCAGAGAATAAGTAGAAGGAGAAATCTGAGGAGAAAAGAGATCAAGGAGTAAGAAAAGAAGGGGCCAGCCACACAGCCAGACATGGAGTAAGAAGGAAAGAAAAGACATACAGAAGCAGAGAAAGGTAAAATCCACGAGGCAAAAGGTAGATGGAATAATTTAAATTAAGAAAAGCTAGCAAGAGGGCTGGAGAGATGGCTCAGAGGTTAAGAGCACTGCTCTTCCAGAGGTCTTGAGTTCAATTCCCAGCACCCACATGGTGGCTCACAACCATCTACAATTCGATCTGGTGTATATGTAATAAATAAATCTTTTAAAAAAAAAGAAAGAAAAGCTAGCAAGAAACAAGCCAAGCTAAAGTTGGGCATTTATAAGTAAGAACAAGTCTCCATGTGTGGTTATTTGGAAGCTTGGTGGTAGGCTCCTGAAAAGAGCCAAAGAACAAAGAGTAAGAAAACAAAAACAAAACAAAACAAAAAAAGAAAACAAATAACAGGTGTGTGTGTGTGTGTGTGTGTGTGTGTGTGTGCTCCCCTGCCTGTCATGTGTCACCTATGTATAGATGCCCAAGGAGGCCAGAAGAGCCTGGAGCTGGAGTTACTGGTGGTTATATGCTGTCTGACCTATGTGCTAGGAACCAAACTCAGGTCCTCTGAGGAACAAAAAACACTTTTTGTTTTTTTGAGACAGGATTTCTCTGTGTAGCCCTGTCTGTCCTGGAACTCACTCTGTAGACCAGCCTGGCCTTGAACTCACAGAGATCCGCCTGCCTCTTCCTCCTGAGCGCTGCTATTAAAGGTGTTCAGCACCACACTCAGATTTTAATATTTATTTTATCTGAGTGCATTGCCTACATATATGTACATGCACTATGTGTGCACAAGTGTGCAACTTTCCACAGAAGCCAGAGGAAAGCATCAGATTCCCTGTAACTGGATTTACAAATGGTTGTGAGCCACCATGTGAGTTCTAGGAACTGAACCCAGGTCTACTGCAAGAGCAGTTGCTGAGCCATCTCTGCAGCCCAGGGGACTACTACTACATTGATTGTATTCATTGAAGTGAGAAGACCCCCCCTCACTCCCTGTCCCACTATTCCCTAGGTAGGGGATCCCGTGTATGTGTAAGGGTGGAAAGAGCAATTGTTTATGGTGGCCTGTACCTGCACAGACAGGCAGATCTCTAAAGTTCGAGGCCAGCCGGGTCAACATAGCAAGTTCCAGGACAGCCAGAGCTACATAAAAGGACCCTGTCTCAGAAGTAAATAAGAGTAAGAAAGTGAGCTGAGTACCAGGATACATTCATTGCCCCACCGGTCCCTGCTCTTGACTGTGGATGTGACAGCACCAGCTGCTTCAAATTCTTGCCACCCTGATGTCCTGCAGTGATAGACTGCGACCTGGAGTTGTGAGCCAAATAAGCCTTGTCTTCCCTAAGTTGTTTTTGTGAGGGTATTTTATCGAAGCAACGGGAAATGAAACTCAGTCACCTGGGATTTTGTCAAATGTAAAACAAGAGTCTTTAGCTCTGGGTAAGACCCAAGAGTGTTCATCCCTAGGGTAAGGATTCTCAGCCAAGGGATTGAGGGAGTGGGGACTCTCTGGAGAAACTCATAAGGGGGAGGAGCTGGATAAAATGTGGTTTTAGGAGTCCAGCCTCAGTCTGGTCGAGTGCAGTGTTCTGGAGAAGTCACCACACAGGCGGTTCTCCACAAAGGGGCTAGGTCTATTGTCCTCTTTCATTAGCCCTCGGAAGAGGCCACAAGCTCCCAGGTAGTCTTAGCCAAATAACAAACTTTAGGTAAAGGTATGAATGCAGGCCACTTATAGCCAGTATCTTCAGTAGCTAGGGGTGGTGGTGTGGCTGGGAGTGCAGGTCTGGAAGGACACCTGCAGCTTCTTCTGGCCATGTCACTTAAGTTACCAAACAGTACTTGACTCTCAGACTATTAGCTGTCTCTCAGATCTATTTATGAAGTGATGCTGGAGGGGGCAGGTAGAAAGAAGGAATTTACTAGATCATTTCTGGCTCTCTTCTTTATTGTTGTGGCTGGACAAGATTCTTCTAGTCTGTGACAGTCCCCCACCTACTTTCTTCCCGTGTTATTGTCCTCTTTGAAATATAAACTGAGGGCTGGGAAGATGACTCGGTGGTTAAGGTGCTTGCCACACAAGTGACAAAACCCTTGTAAATTCTGGTCAGGCATGGCGGCCTGTCTGTAATTCCAACCCGAGGAGGACATGGGAGATTTCCCAGAGCAAGTCAGCCATATTGATAAGCTCTGGGTTTGATTGAGAGACTCTTCCTCAATGACTAAGGTGGAGGACTGATTAAGTGTGACTCCCAGCATCAACCTCGGGCCTCTACATGAACACATGTACACAGGAATTCACATGCACTAAAGGAATACAGGCTGTAGGGGCAACAGAGCTGATCTTTGTAGAATTCCAGAGTTTTCCATCATCAATGCTCTAAGAGCAAGGCTTTGCCTTTAACTTCTTCAGACCTCATTATTTTGATGGAATTTAAAGATTAACTGACCTGGAACTCACTCTGTAGACGAGGCCGGACTAGAACTTTTAGAGATCCAGTTGCCTCTCCTCCCCAAGTTCTGGGATTCAAGGCATGCATCTCCACATCTGGCTTTCAAAATACACTTTACAAAGAGTTATTCAATTCATAGATACAGGTTTTCTTAAGTCATAAGTAGCAGAGTATGCTGTCGGGTCTAAAGGACGGGTAGGTATGTTAGTGTGACAGCTGGTACTGTCTGCTTGACAGGGTCTAGAATCCTGGGACACAGGCCTCTGACAATGCCTGTGAGAGATTACCTAGACTCGGTTAATCAGGATGGGAAGACTCGTCCTAATTGTGGATGGCACCAGGATGGGTTCCTGGACTCTATAGACAGGAGAGAGGGACAGCTGAGAACCAGTGTTTGTCTCTCTGCTCCTGACTGTGGGTATCAGGTGACAGCAGCCTTAAGCTCCTGTCATCATATCTTCTGTACCGTAATGAACTGTTCCCCTTAAACCATGAGCCAAAACAAAGCCATAAGTTGCTCTTGTCACAGCAAAGAGACAAATAATTAATACAGTCATCTTCGTGTCACTGTAA